TGTGCCAACTGCCAAATTGAAAATACCTAACAACAATACTATAACCACAAAAATAGATTTTTTTAGTAATTTTTTACTTTTTTAGCTAAAATATGATATAAAAAAAATTAATATGCGTGGGATGACCTTTAGTTTTTTACGAAAAAATATACAAAAAGTAGAGTGAAAAGAGAATTTTTGAATTTTTGATATAAATTGTTGAATTTTTAATTTTTTTTAGTGACTTTTAAATTTTTAGACTAAAAAGTTTATATTTAAATTTTAATTATATTAATTCAGATCTCGTTTGGGAACATGCTATTTTAAGTAACTTTTTGACTAAAATATAAGGTAAAAAAAAACTAATATGTTTGGAATGACTTTTTAGTTTCTTATGAAAATATGTGTAAAAAGTAAAGAGAAAAAAGAATGTTTGACTTGTTTGTATAGGTTATAGACTTTTTAATTTTTTTTAATAACTTTTTGACTTTTAGACTAAAACAGACAGTTTCCAAACAAGGCCTCAATCTTCGCTACATAATAATATTTCCTACAAAAAATTTTTTTTTTTTTTTTTGGGACAACCATTTTTGCAAAAATAACCAGAGGGCAACCATAAGTTATAGTTTTACATCAGACCTATTTGGTGCACTTTAATAAGATCAGAAGAATCATTTTCTCAACTTCTAAATAATTAATTTTTTTTCAGCTTATTTAAACTATTTATACTTAGGAATGGTTTAGGATGTTCTAAATAAGTGCATTTTTGGATTTTTATTAAAAAAAAATGTGTAAAAAAGTAGAGAAAGTTGATAGAAAAGTAGAGAAGAGATATTGATTGATGTGACCTAAATAAATGTATGTATATAAAAAAATATGCTTTTTTAGTGCATGCCAAACACCTACTTAATAAGTTATAAACAGAAACCGTATTGAACAGTTTGACATAAACTCCTAAAAAAAAATGACAAGCAGCTTAGAAAAGTTACATCAAACAAAATAATCGATTGAGATTAGCTTAATTGATCTGTTTTGTACATTTTTATCTGAAAAGTCAAATATTTATTAAATATAAAATTGATAATTTGTTTGTGTAGTAATATGATGATATTAATTAATTGAGATTAAACCTATAAATTTATGTAAAAATTCTCAATCCATCAATAATAATTTTCTTATTTTTATAAAGTAAAATATAACAGTATTTGATAATTTGTATAATGGTATTTTCATCCCAATCCAATTGGTTTGGATTGTGAAACCCAAGTCTCTCACCACCATGTGATTGCTAATATTCCTTCGGAAGGGATTCCTACTCCTATAATATTATTGCAAAATAAACATAATATATGTAAAGATTTATCGAATTATTAATCAAATCCCACCACTTTCAAGGCTAAGGGGTTGTTTGGGGTGTTCTAAATAAGTGTACTTTTTGTCATTTTGGACTAAAAAGTTAAGGGAACAAATATGGATGTTTGGATTAACTTTTTGACTTTTTATGAAAAAATATGTATTAAAAAATTGTATAAATTAGTGTGTAGAGAAAAATTATGATTGAGAATTGTGCAGCCATAATTTTTTACTTTTGATGAATAGTGATAACTTTTTAACTTTTTTATTTTTTTACACTTTCCAAACTTGGTCTAAAACAAACAGGGTCACCTAAGTTTCCTAAATTGAAGTTGATTTGAGGTTGCTTTTATTTTAGATGCTAGTTTCTCGTTTGGAAGCTCACGGGACTCGAGTGAGTGAGCGGGTGATCATGGAGGGAAAAACAAAAGTGGTGCACCGGTGGGGAAAGCTCCGTTTTTGTCTTTAATATATCATTTTTAAAGTTATGTTTGGTTTGGGCTTATTGGTTAAAAAAAAAAATACAAAAGGCAAAATTTGTTACATAAGTTAATAAGACAAAATATTACATTTAAACTATAATCATTATGCTTTTTTCTTTCATAAAAGTCAAAAATAAAACCAAACAAGACTAAAAAAATCAAAAAAACCAATTTATTCTAGCTCTTCGCAAACGAAGGCTAAACAGGTTTAGTACACGAGTTTAATTTCTCTCAAGTTTAAATTTAAATTTAAAAGAATTTGAAAAGCTTATAAGGGCCATTATGGATCATATTTTGATAATTCAAATTATTCATTCTGTAAAAATCTTGATCTCCATGCATATTATTCATTCATAAAAAAATTAGATTCATATTATAATCGTAATATTTTTTATTTTATTGTGTCTGATTCTAAAAAAAATGCATAATCCATTTGAAATATATATTTGTTGTTTATTTTTTTAAAGATAAACGCCGTAAAATAAAAATATTACAATTATGGAATCGATTTAATTTTTTTTCTTCCATAAATGATATATATTGATGTCTTATAAAATTAACTAATTGTAATTGTCAAGTGAATTTTATTAATTTTTATTTAATATATTTAATTTTAAGTGCTAAATAAAATCGTGAAGCACTAACAAACCTAAGAGTTATCACCAATTTTTTCCTTTTGATTTTTCATTTTTTGGGAAACCAAACAAGGCGTAACCCTGAGTACCGGCCTATAAAAAAGTAACTTTAGCTCTTCTTTGTTTTTGCCAACCCTGCCGTGAACATCTCCGCCAAACAAATTTTCCACGTGCAGTAGAGATATAACCTCTAATCAAATATATAAGCTAACTATTTCGATAGGTAAATGAGGAATTACACTGACACGTGAAAAATGTTTTTGAAAAATTGAAAAACATAATAAATATTATTCTTTTCGTCCCATATTAATCTATTATTTTATTTTTTATTATTTTAAAATATTAATCTCTTTTTAAAAATCAATAATTAAAATAATATGAATTTTTTGTTGTGTTTTTTTTTTAATTCATTAACAACATAAAAAGTATAATTATGACAATTGATATTCTCAAAAAAATATACTATCAAAGGATAATTTTGAAAAATTAATATCTTGAGGCCTCTTTTGGGAAGTGAGTTAAAAGCCACTTTTCAACTTTTAACCCATTTTTAGTCACATCATCTTTCATATGTTTTATACGTTTTTTCAAAAAAAATAAACAAGAAACAGTTTTAAACCATCTTCACAAAACACCCCTTAAAGTGTAATAATTGTATTACCAAAAAAATTGAAAAAAAAATTATTATTTTGAGACAGAAATAGTATTTTTTTTGTAAATAATTTTTGTTGCTGGCACTGATGTGTTGTTTCTCCTAGGAAAATTCTAAAGGGTAGGATGGGTACTATGTGTACTTTTGTTATGTATTTTCATGATATATATTATATATTTTTATAGTTATTATATATATATTTGATAGAATTAAAATAATTTATAATTTAAAAATAAAGTTGTATAGTAATCTTATGTATTTTTGTGATAATATTATAAACTTTTTTATCCAAATATTATTTAATCACAAAATGTGCAATATTTTTCACAAAAATACATAATATTACTACAAAGATACGTGACTATATCCAGTTTTTGAAAATATTTACCATGAAAATATATAATATTTATCACAAATATCGTAACTCAATCAAAAAATTACAAAATATTTATCATGAAAATATATAATATTTATCACAAATATCGTAACTCAATCAAAAAATTACAAAATATTTATCATGAAAATATATAATATTTATCACAAATATCGTAACTCAATCAAAAAATTACAAAATATTTATCATGAAAATATATAATATTTATCACAAATATCGTAACTCAATCAAAAAATTACAAAATATTTATCATGAAAATATATAATATTTATCACAAATTTACGTAATACATACCATTTAAAATTTCCCACATATATATATGTATATATTAGTGCATGTCTGTTCTCGTGCCTGAAGGCACAGTGTAAATAAAATAAGTGAGCCAAAAGAAGAAAAATAAAAATGAAAAAGAAATAGGAAGGAAAATAATAAAAAAAAAATAAGAATGGGCAGGAGAGAGAGAGAGAGATTGCATGAGTGAACAAAAAGGGAAGAAAAGGAGATGGGTACTAAAATTTGCTAAACAAAATCTAAAGGAAGCATACATTTATAATAACATTCTATATCCAGTTTGATTTGGATATTAAATTTCCAAGTAATACTATACAAACAGAATTTGTATTTAAAAAATTCATGGATAATAATGTGTTACATTTATAGTCATTCATCAATCTAATTCATAATTGCAAGACTAGCATTACCACATTATTCGTGTCTTAAATTTTGTATGAAAATTATGTGTGCATATCATTTTTCTAAATTTCCTTTCGATTTTAATTAATTTTAGTTAGAGTGGTGACAAGAGTGGCCATGAAAATTGCAACCACAACATTTTTCTTTGTTCCGTTACTCCAAAAAAAAAAAAAAAAAAAAAAAAAAACAAATCACTCCAAATATTTTTTTATTTTTGTTTTTTTGTATACATCTGAGATTAATATTATTCATGCGATTTTAGACATTGGGCATTTAGAAAGAGAATTGAGTTAAAATAGTCCTTGAAAGATAAAAATAAATTAAAAATAATTAATAAAATAAAATGTCAAATTTAATTCAAAATTATTTTATTTTTTATTTCACACCTACCAAATCAATTATAAAAAAATCAACTAACTTTATAAATATAATTATTTTAACCAAATTAAAATAATAATAAAAAAAATCAAATAGCCAACCTTACGAGGCCACTGTCACCATCCCCTCAAAATAATTTTGCCAGAATACCCCTACTCCCCAACCATCTTTCCAACCCAAACGGAAACAACGGACCTTCCCTCGCCTGAGTTATGTTGGGATGTAAATAGATTATTAAATTTTTTATTAAATCTCTGAAATTTACATACATATAATTTATATAAATTTCACATTCATATAAAAATTTTAATAATTTATTTAGAGTGCCATTTTTCTCCTCACCTGACCATCACCAGTCCTGCTCTTTAATTTTGACACGTCATCAACTGTCCCCACACGTACGGACAACACAGCCAATATAAATGGGCAAAACCCTTGAGAAACCAAACCCTCGCTTGCATCCCCAACCTTTTGGCTTTCGCTCTCTCTCTCTCTCTAGAAAACCCGTTAAAAATCACCGTAATTTCGGCCGAAACGTAACCACCAAAACGATAACAGCATTCAACGAGAAGGAGAAGAAGAGTTAGTACCTGAGATGGCGCCGGCGGCAGGCGTTGAGTCACAATCCGACCGAGTCCCGATGATGATTCCGTCGACGGTTCAACAAGCTCCTGCGATGATGTCGGAGTCGTTTGCCAAGGACGCGATTATCGCGTGGTTCCGGGGAGAGTTTGCGGCGGCGAACGCCATCATCGACGCGTTGTGCAGTCACCTGAAACAGCTTGAGGGCGGCGGAGGATCGGAGTACGATTCGGCGTTCACTGCGATCCACCGGCGGCGACTGAATTGGATCCCGATTATACAGATGCAGAAGTTCTACTCCATCGCCGATGTCGCGATCGAGCTTCGACGAGTGGCTGAGAAGAAAGTGAAAAACAGAGAGGAAGGCGAGGATGTGAAGAAGAAGAATAGCGAAGAGGAGAAGAGTCGAGGAGTTTCTGAAGTGGAATCGACGGAGAGCAATGAAAATGGCGGTGGTGAGGTGGTGGATGAAGATTCGATGAGACATGATTCACCGGAGAGTGAGATTACTGATACAGGTAAGTATAATTTTAGTAATTTCGATGTTTAAGTTTTTATTTTCCTCGCTTTTACATGAATTTTCTGTGTATAGTAAAGTTCGTAGCTTTTATTTATGATTTTTTGAATTATTATTGGAAATAATGATCTCGAATTGAGTGTGCGAATAGGATCCGCGTAAATCGGACGCAGATTCTCAGAGTACTCCAAGGCTCTGCGACGTAACGATATCTCTGTCTAAGGGGATTGTTTGGAATAACTCAATAAGTACATACTTTTTATTTTTTTATCATATTATTTTTTTATAAAAATTAAAAAATATATTTATTTAAATCATTCCAAATTACTCTGAATTAAATTCTCTGTTTTCACGTTCTGGTTCTTCGGTGAGTTGTGATTATTTTTTTCATCATTATTATTATTATTTGGTTGGCAACTTTTCTTAAGCATGACAAAGATCTCTTTTGGTAAGTGAGTTATAATTTACTTGTCAAATTATAATTCATTTTTTCTTTTACAAAAATGTTATTTATAAGTAATTTTTAACCAAAAAGTTGATTATATCTATTTTTTAAAAATAGTTTAAATTTTAACCTTCAATTAGCAATGATTTTTTTAATTAATTTTTTAATTTTTTTAACTTTTTTGCTCGTTTGATATTCTTGATTGATTTTTTTAATTTTTTAACTTTGAAATGGTAAATTTTTTTTTCCTTTATGATTTTTGGCTTTTTATGATTTTTTAAATTTTTTTTATCTTTTTGTAATTTTTTAGCCCAATTCAAAAACCAAACAACAGCTTAATTTTCTCCGATTTTGAATTCAACTGGGGTTTGGTGGAGAAATCGAGTAGTATGAATACAGTTTCTGATTTTGAATTCAACGTGCTTTCCGTAAAATAAAAAACAGTATCTATTGTTCAAACTTTTCAGGAGCGAATTCAGAAATTTGACTGACTAGCAGTTGTTGTATTATCTATTTTTTTTAAAAAAAAAATAATAATCTTTTGGGTTGATTACACTTTTAACTATTGATCATAAAAATAAATAAATAAATAAACTCTTTTAGATGGGAGAAGGGAGCAGTTGCCCAGTAGTGTAGCTTTGTTTTAGGATGGTGAAAAGATTAGAAGTTTCGGGTTCCAGTTAATGGAACGCATGTAATTTAGGAAGAATTATGTATAGGTTTTAATAAGTAAACTTATTGTTTAATAGGTTATATGATAATTAATGGTATTTTTTATCAAATACTATTAAAAAAATCACTAACTGTTAATTTTCAGCGATAATTTAAAAATTGTTATAAAAAATATAACTAATTATAAGTTTTAGCGTCAGTTTAAAAAAATGTCACAAATTTTAAACTTTAAGTGATAGTTTGAAAAATTTACCACAAAAAAGTCACTAATAGTAAGTTTTAGCTACAATTTATAAAAATTGTTACAAAAAAATTACTAATTGTCCATTTTTAACAATATATATGTAAAAAATTGTCACAAAAATTATTTTTAACGACGATTTTATTATAACTTATTTTCAATAGGATTTAAAAGAAATTAAATCCAACTATTTATATCTATTGCTAGTTTACCCTATAATTTGGCTTACTAACTCTTAACATACTATCTTAGCATAAATGTGTATATATATAATCTTATAGATTGACTCAAATTTTACTTTTATTCCTATCAAATTGAACATTTTAAAAGAGTTTTGAAATGATAGTTAAAAAATCATTATAAATTATCACATCACTCTCTCTATTTTTTTTACACATCTTTTCTTAAAAGTCAAAAAATTCTCAAATGGGCTAATTTTATTTTAAAAATAAATTTAAAAAGTTAAAAAGAGTTTTGAAATGATAGAAAAATGGATTTTTATTGATAAATCTCATTTAGAAGTGTTCTAACTCAAAAAGTAGAATTTTTTAACCCACTTAGGCCCATGTAGTTATATTTTTATTCCATAAAATCTTTTTTTCTTGATTTACACTATTTTCTTAAACTCTTATACTCTTATATTTAATATTGATATCTAATGTTGAGGGGAGTGAGAGAAGGGAAATGACCAAGGTATAGGAAATTTCATACACAAATTAAATAACATTGATGTTATTATTTTATATTATAATATAATGTGAATATATTTTTAATTGACAACACATTAAAAACAATGTGAACATTCTCTTTCATCTGATGTGAACGCTCACAACACATTTCTAAAAAATTCTCTCTCATCTAATGTAGTGATGTGAATGTTCACAATATGTGAACATTTTTATTTTTAATTGACAACACATTAAAAATAACGTTCATTATATTTTTAATTGACAATACATTCTTATTCACAATATGTAGTGATGTGAACATTCATATCATGTGAACATTCTCTCTCATCTAATATAGTGATGTGAACGTTCACATTCTTATGTTTTAATATGAATATTCACATCATGTAATTGACAACACAATGACAAAAATTCATTTCAAATTAATATGAATATAATGACAATCAACATCCTGATACATGAGAACTACCAAAATATAATGACAATCAATATTAAATATCAACATTAATAGGGGACAGGAGATATTGAGGATGTTTTGATTTTCTTATCTCAAATATGATCTAATTGAATAGTCAAAAATCTCCCATAGAAATATTTAGAAATTTGTGAAACATATTTTGGGAAAGGGAGCGCACTACCAAAAAATTAAAAAATAAAAAAAAAATCGCATTGGCCCTGTTGGACAAAAAGATAAAATAGACTAGACTGTCCATAATTATGGATTGTCCAATCTGGCCCATGGAGCCTATTTTTTGGGTCTCGTTTCGATAATCCGAACTGTTAATGTGTAAAAATCTTCGATTACTATATCCCTATAAAAAATTACGTTAATCGGATATCGATAGCTATTTGATCGGATTGGATTTCTGTCAACCGTTTATTTTTTTACTGTCCATTTTTTTTTATATAAATCTGACCCGATCAAATAACTATTGATATCCAATCAGTGTGATTTTTTACAGGAATATAGTACTCAATAAGTTTTACACATTGAACGGTTTGAATTATCAAAATGAGACCCAAAAATGGACTCCATGGGCCGAACTAGACAGTTCAATCTTGATCTCAACATGAGACAAG